ACTGTACTACAGCTATGATCATCAATAACTTTTCTTAGTTGCCATGACTTGGCAGCTGACCTATAGGCACAATAAGCATACCATTTGCATTTACCCTGGCTCCCCAAACATTTTACAGCAACCCTCTTTTTTGTCATTCTTCATGAATTTCAAATTTCTTCCATTACTCAGTGCATAAGTCCTAATGGCCTCTGTAAATTCCTTTTCTCAGTGAAATAGGTTCCCACTTCCCATTATAATCCGTCAAACTTTTAGGCTGCTAAATGTGGGAAACAAAGTTCTCCGAATGAATCATCATCGTCCTCATTGTCTGGACCACTATCCAACTCATCTGACACCCACTCAGTGTTAGACAAGCCACGAACATCATGCATGGAATCATTATCAGTTGTCTTGATGACTCACCTATTGGACGGTCAGGTTGTTCTTCCCTCACATTTCGTTTCAAACTACTAATGTCACACTCAATGGTGACATCAACTAGACTTTCTTCACTCACAACTCATCTACATCTTCATCCTCACCATGTTCACTCACAGACTCATCCTCACCATCATCTCCAACCTCTTCTGCTCATCATCATCCTACCCTCATCATCACCCACATATATCCTCAATCTCATCCTCTTTTACATCTTGTCAGCTCAAATCATTTACATCATGTACCTCAACCTCCTCTACATCATGTACTTCACCATCCTCCACATGTTCATTTTGTTTTGCAACTTCACAGTCACCCTCCTCCATTTTGTTCACAACTTGAGCCTCAACCTCACCCCATAGTGACCCTCCTCCATTTTTGTTCCAACTTCAGGTTGAACATCAGCCTGGCCCTCACCCTCAACCTCACCTCACAGTGACCCTCCTCCATTTCTATTCCAACTTCAGGCTGAACATCAGCCTCACCCTCACCCTCAACCTCATCCTCACAGTGACCCTTAACATCACCTGAACCTCACCCTCAGGCTCACCCTCCACTTCTCTTGCAACACAACTTCATCAGGCTCACCCTTCACCTCTCTTGAACATCAACTTCATCATTACTATCACCATCAATCCAATCAATCATTTCTATTATCTCTGGTTCCATGGTATTATGAACCACGTACAAATGAACTTCATCATTTAACCTTGCTATATTTAGCATATGCATAGCACCCCTATCATCAGTCAATAATTCTAACCTATTTGGCACCACTGACTGACCTCCTAAACTGTACCAAAGTTCTTTTATGTCTATATAACCTAAGTCTTTCACTGAAGCTAATATTCCAAAATGCACCATAGGTCGGATCACAAGACCATTCTGTTATCTCGCCATCAAATTTAAAATTTCCATCTCATCCACTAACAAAAGGAAATGCACATGATGGACCACAACTTTAATATGTTCAGCCATGCAATATTATAATTCAACCACAAGCTTTTAACACATGTACATTGGGGGGGAAATATTATTATTTCTCACTATTTACTAACTCAGCAAATAGTCAGACATCAACGACATAGGGGAACAAACTAACATCCCTACAAAGAAAACAATCAGACAGAAAAGGTCGCCACAACTTCTAAACAATTCATAAAGACACTTTTGGGACCACAACACTCTATGCATTTCAACAAACAGTGACATACCAATCTCGGGACCCATCACAGAATAACAGTACCAAATCAACTATAACCTAAACGCACAAACATACCACTATCGGGACCACAGCGAAACAAATTCGGGACCACAACAACCATAAACAAAGCAACATAACTACATATTCGTAAAGGCCAAAAGCGGAAAACATAGGATACTAACCTTAACTGGCATCCACTTTCAATTCCGTTCCTCCACCACAACGTGATTCTCTTCGTCTTTGCAAATATTTTACAAAGTCCTAATTCTCACACTCACTCACTGCAGCAAAATCTCTAACTCATGAAATCCCTAATTCCCATTTCAGTTTTTCTGTTTAACTTAAAAAAAAAAGCCAATCAACAACAAAATCCCTCATTCCCTGCCACATATATTTATTTTTTTTCATTTTTTTCAAATAACTATTATCCACGTATTTAAATATTTTAAACTGAGTTCATTATCTATGCACCACGTAATCAAAGGCAAACGGCGTTACTGAAAAATTAACGGAGAGGGCTTAATTGACTCATTTTAACATGTTTAAGGACCCGATTAAGACCGAAAAAAACATGATGACCCACTTGAGATTGACACACAAATATGAAGACCAAATGAAGGTTTAAACCAACCATTTATTATGTCTATGTTTAAATTTGAAGCTTTCAAGATTTGCTTAATATTAATGAAATCCCCTTTTATATATATTTACTCATTTTAGTACGATGATGGTTGATTTCAAATTATGGCTACATGAATGATTTATCATTAAAAAAATGGTCGAGGGAAATTATACATTCTCTAAAAGGTTATTATTTAAAAAAAAGTGAGTAATTTTACTAATTGATTTAATTAATTTTTCCATTTTATGAAGTGTTTTGTTTGGTTTCACTTTTTTAAAATGTTGGCCGTATACAACCTATTCCTATACAGGTAGAGATAGGGACAGAGGAAGTTACATGGCCCAAATTTATGGTTTAAAGTGTTTTTTATTAAATATGTTAGATTAAATGTTTTATGTTTTAGATAATCCAATAGCTTTTGTCTTTTAAAAAAAAATCAAATACTTAATATTAATGAAATAATTAAATTACTTAATCTTTATTCCTATAAAATTAGTAGTTAATATTAAGGTTTAATCATTTTCGATATCCCTATTTTTGTAGGATCGTCTCAAACAGGTCCTCATATTTTAAAGTCTCTTGGTTAGGTCCTTAATTGTTAAAATTTGAATCAAATTAAACCTTGCCGTTAAATTAGGTAGACGGCGTCAAAAAAATTGCTTCGTGGCTTAGTGACTTGACTGAGTGTTGTTGATGTGGCCATATTGGTTATCTAAGTTGGCTTTTTTTTATTTATTCATTTAAAAAAATTAACTTTAATCAAAACGCAACGTTTTGTGTACAAAAATGTATTTTTTAATTGAGTGAAGAACGTTTTAATTATTTGGGGGAATTTGGAAAATTAAAGGTGATGGACGAGCACCCGAGGAGATAACGAATGAGCGTGTCGCGAGCTCCTTCGAAGCTTCCTCCAGAGATGAACGCAGCGGAAAGTAGACGAAGCTCTAGATTGAGAGCTTACTCGAAGGAAACCGAGAGAATCGAAATCGATTACAGAAACCCTAAAATCTTGAACAACCCTAGAAAAGAGGGAAAACTCAAATTGGACCGATTAAACGGTTCAAACGCAAGATTGATCGGTTCAAAAGCGTTAAACGGTGCAAATGGAGGTTTAATCGGTAGAAATCAAAGAACAAATGGTAAAAAGGGTTTCAATCGGCTAAATGGAGAGAAATGGTTTGAGAAGGAAGAAACCCTAATGTGTGGTTGGAGATTGAAAAAGAAGAACGAAGATGTGATTCTGTGATGAAAAAGAAGTGAGAAAATATGAGAGGATGAAACTTACAGAGAAGATGAAAATCTGAAGACGTGGCTTGCGAGATGGAGAAATGCTCTCGCGAGAGAGAATCAGTGAGAAATGAAATGTTCCTCGTGGCAGTGAAATGAAGAGGTGGTGATGTTGTGTGCGAGACAAAGGAGGACGCGTGGCGAAGAGATGTTGACGCCACTATGCTGAAGCCGATGGGAGTAACGGTGATGGTGTGTGATGAGAGAGAAGCACGATGGAATGGAAAATGAAAGTGAGAGAGGTGCTTGGAAGGTGGCTAGAGGGAGTCTTTGGACTCTCTAGTCTATGACTTTCAAGAGAGAATAGTTTTTGATTCAGAAAACTTAATTCTCATTAATCTCAAAAGTGCATGATACAGTGGTGGAGACAGGTATTTATAGTAACCCATGCTCCTTACAAGCTAACCTATAAAAAAGGTAAAAATACTAAAGAAGGACTACGTCGGGAAGGATTACATCATACCCTCCCTCTTAAAAAAAGATTTGTCCTCAAATCTGGCATCGCCTTATGAAGAAGCTTCACACAGTTTTGGGAGCAAAGCCATGAAGTGGCCTTATTACTTTAGATCTACTTTTCTTCCTCCTGGATCAAACACGAATCTGCAATACACATCAAATATATCTTTGGTTAATATTAATCCAAGAAAAGATTTTCTTTAAAACAAGAGAATAAGCTTTAATACTTTGATTTGTAATCTTTGAAAATTTTAGAAGTCCAAATTCAATTTTGTCTTTAGTTAATGTTTTCTTAANTACATGCTCCACAAACAGCTTCCCCACCAAGGTCTGCAATGAGAAGCTCCAAGAACCAAGTCCAGGAGTCTTTGTTTTCTACCTCAACAACAGCATATGCAATGGGAAGAATTTGTTCATTTCCAACTCTTCCAACTGCTGTTAGTAACTCCCCTCCATACTTTCCATTCAAAAAGCATCCATCTAATCCAATGATGGGTCTACAACTAACGAAGCTATCTTTGCATGCTTTCAAGCATACATAAATGCTATTGAATATACAGTCTTCATTACTATTTTCAACCTTTATTTTGACTGTTGAACCTGGATTTGCTCTCAGAAGTTCATGACCATAATCATAGATTCTTCTATATTATTCCTTGAATGACCCCTCAACATTATCTTTTTCCATGGCTCTTGCCCTAAAAGCCATATTTCTAGAGATTCCTACATTCCATTTCCTACTTACTTTGTCCCTAAGTCCATCACCTTCATATTAGGGTTCTCTCTGACAGATTTTGCCATCCTTTGACTCAACCACTTAGAAGTCATCAACTTCACATTACAAACTGTACTACAGCTATGATCATCAATAACTTTTCTTAGTTGCCATGACTTGGCAGCTGACCTATAGGCACAATAAGCATACCATTTGCATTTACCCTGGCTCCCCAAACATTTTACAGCAACCCTCTTTTTTGTCATTCTTCATGAATTTCAAATTTCTTCCATTACTCAGTGCATAAGTCCTAATGGCCTCTGTAAATTCCTTTTCTCAGTGAAATAGGTTCCCACTTCCCATTTATAATCCGTCAAACTTTTAGGCATGCTAAATGTGGGAAACAAAGTTCTCCGAATGGAATCATCATCGTCCTCATTGTCTGGACCACTATCCAACTCATCTGACACCCACTCAGTGTTAGACAAGCCACGAACATCATGCATGGAATCATTATCAGTTGTCCTTGATGACTCACCTATTGGACTGTCAGGTTGTTCTTCCCTCACATTTCGTTTCAAACTACTAATGTCACACTCAATGGTGACATCAACTAGACTTTCTTCACTCACAGACTCATCTACATCTTCATCCTCACCATGTTCACTCACAGACTCATCCTCACCATCATCTCCAACCTCTTCATGCTCATCATCATCCTCACCCTCATCATCACCCACATGATCATCCTCAATCTCATCCTCTTTTACATCTTGTAGCTCAAAATCATTTACATCATGTACCTCAACCTCCTCTACATCATGTACTTCACCATCCTCCACATGTTCAATTTGTTTTGCAACTTCACAGTCACCCTCCTCCAATTTTGTTCCAACTTGAGCCTCAACCTCACCCTCATAGTGACCCTCCTCCATTTTTGTTCCAACTTCAGGTTGAACATCAGCCTGGCCCTCACCCTCAACCTCATCCTCACAGTGACCCTCCTCCATTTCTATTCCAACTTCAGGCTGAACATCAGCCTCACCCTCACCCTCAACCTCATCCTCACAGTGACCCTTAACATCACCATGAACCTCACCCTCAGGCTCACCCTCCACTTCTCTTGCAACACAACTTCATCAGGCTCACCCTTCACCTCTCTTGCAACATCAACTTCATCATTAACATCACCATCAATCCAATCAATCATTTCTATTATCTCTGGTTCCATGGTATTATGAACCACGTACAAATGAACTTCATCATTTAACCTTGCTATATTTAGCATATGCATAGCACCCCTATCATCAGTCAATAATTCTAACCTATTTGGCACCACTGACTGACCTCCTAAACTGTACCAAAGTTCTTTTATGTCTATATAACCTAAGTCTTTCACTGAAGCTAATATTCCAAAATAGCACCATAGGTCTGGATCACAAGACCATTCTGTTATCTCGCCATCAAATTTAAAATTTCCATTCTCATCACTAACAAAATGGCCACAATGATGGACCACAACTTTAATATGTTCAGCCATGCAATATTATAATTCAACCACAAGCTTTTAACACATGTACATTGGGGGGGAAATATTATTATTTCTCACTATTTACTAACTCAGCAAATAGTCAGACATCAACGACATAGGGGAACAAACTAACATCCCTACAAAGAAAACAATCAGACAGAAAAGGTCGCCACAACTTCTAAACAATTCATAAAGACACTTTTGGGACCACAACACTCTATGCATTTCAACAAACAGTGACATACCAATCTCGGGACCCATCACAGAATAACAGTACCAAATCAACTATAACCTAAACGCACAAACATACCACTATCGGGACCACAGCGAAACAAATTCGGGACCACAACAAACCATAAACAAAGCAACATAACTACATATTCGTAAAGGCCAAAAGCGGAAAACATAGGATACTAACCTTAACTGGCATCCACTTTCAATTCCGTTCCTCCACCACAACGTGATTCTCTTCGTCTTTGCAAATATTTTACAAAGTCCTAATTCTCACACTCACTCACTGCAGCAAAATCTCTAACTCATGAAATCCCTAATTCCCATTTCAGTTTTTCTGTTTAACTTAAAAAAAAAAGCCAATCAACAACAAAATCCCTCATTCCCTGCCACATATATTTATTTTTTTTCATTTTTTTCAAATAACTATTATCCACGTATTTAAATATTTTAAACTGAGTTCATTATCTATGCACCACGTAATCAAAGGCAAACGGCGTTACTGAAAAATTAACGGAGAGGGCTTAATTGACTCATTTTAACATGTTTAAGGACCCGATTAAGACCGAAAAAAACATGATGACCCACTTGAGATTGACACACAAATATGAAGACCAAATGAAGGTTTAAACCAACCATTTATTATGTCTATGTTTAAATTTGAAGCTTTCAAGATTTGCTTAATATTAATGAAATCCCCTTTTATATATATTTACTCATTTTAGTACGATGATGGTTGATTTCAAATTATGGCTACATGAATGATTTATCATTAAAAAAATGGTCGAGGGAAATTATACATTCTCTAAAAGGTTATTATTTAAAAAAAAGTGAGTAATTTTACTAATTGATTTAATTAATTTTTCCATTTTATGAAGTGTTTTGTTTGGTTTCACTTTTTTAAAATGTTGGCCGTATACAACCTATTCCTATACAGGTAGAGATAGGGACAGAGGAAGTTACATGGCCCAAATTTATGGTTTAAAGTGTTTTTTATTAAATATGTTAGATTAAATGTTTTATGTTTTAGATAATCCAATAGCTTTTGTCTTTTAAAAAAAAATCAAATACTTAATATTAATGAAATAATTAAATTACTTAATCTTTATTCCTATAAAATTAGTAGTTAATATTAAGGTTTAATCATTTTCGATATCCCTATTTTTGTAGGATCGTCTCAAACAGGTCCTCATATTTTAAAGTCTCTTGGTTAGGTCCTTAATTGTTAAAATTTGAATCAAATTAAACCTTGCCGTTAAATTAGGTAGACGGCGTCAAAAAAATTGCTTCGTGGCTTAGTGACTTGACTGAGTGTTGTTGATGTGGCACATATTGGTTATCTAAGTTGGCTTTTTTTTATTTATTCATTTAAAAAAATTAACTTTAATCAAAACGCAACGTTTTGTGTACAAAAAATGTATTTTTTAATTGAGTGAAGAACGTTTTAATTATTTGGGGGAATTTGGAAAATTAAAAGGTGATGGACGAGCACCCGAGGAGATGACGAATGAGCGTGTCGCGAGCTCCTTCGAAGCTTCCTCCAGAGATGAACGCAGCGGAAAGTAGACGAAGCTCTAGATTGAGAGCTTACTCGAAGGAAACCGAGAGAATCGAAATCGATTACAGAAAACCCTAAAATCTTGAACAAACCCTAGAAAAGAGGGAAAACTCAAATTGGACCGATTAAACGGTTCAAACGCAAGATTGATCGGTTCAAAAGCGTTTAAACGGTGCAAATGGAGGTTTAATCGGTAGAAATCAAAGAACAAATGGTAAAAAGGGTTTCAATCGGCTAAATGGAGAGAAATGGTTTGAGAAGGAAGAAACCCTAATGTGTGGTTGGAGATTGAAAAAGAAGAACGAAGATGTGATTCTGTGATGAAAAAGAAGTGAGAAAATATGAGAGGATGAAACTTACAGAGAAGATGAAAATCTGAAGACGTGGCTTGCGAGATGGAGAAATGCTCTCGCGAGAGAGAATCAGTGAGAAATGAAATGTTCCTCGTGGCAGTGAAATGAAGAGGTGGTGATGTTGTGTGCGAGACAAAGGAGGACGCGTGGCGAAGAGATGTTGACGCCACTATGCTGAAGCCGATGGGAGTAACGGTGATGGTGTGTGATGAGAGAGAAGCACGATGGAATGGAAAATGAAAGTGAGAGAGGTGCTTGGAAGGTGGCTAGAGGGAGTCTTTGGACTCTCTAGTCTATGACTTTCAAGAGAGAATAGTTTTTGATTCAGAAAACTTAATTCTCATTAATCTCAAAAGTGCATGATACAGTGGTGGAGACAGGTATTTATAGTAACCCATGCTCCTTACAAGCTAACCTATAAAAAAGGTAAAAATACTAAAGAAGGACTACGTCGGGAAGGATTACATCATACCCTCCCTCTTAAAAAAAGATTTGTCCTCAAATCTGGCATCGCCTTATGAAGAAGCTTCACACAGTTTTGGGAGCAAAGCCATGAAGTGGCCTTATTACTTTAGATCTACTTTTCTTCCTCCTGGATCAAACACGAATCTGCAATACACATCAAATATATCTTTGGTTAATATTAATCCAAGAAAAGAATTTTCTTTAAAAACAAGAGAATAAGAACTTTAATACTTTGATTTGTAATCTTTGAAAATTTTAGAAGTCCAAATTCAATTTTGTCTTTAGTTAATTGTTTTCTTAAAGATAACAATAACTCAAGATTTGAATTGTCATATTTTGAAAATGTTTTCATAGAATATATAATGACAATTGGTTTGAAAGAGAAGTCAATATTTAAAGAATTAACCATGATTGGAAAAGAAGTAAAGATTTGAAAACCTTCCCTTTTAGGTTCCATAGTCTTGGAAAGAATAGAATTTGTCATCAGCAACAATTTCTCCTTTTCTGTCTTCTCTCTTTCTTGCCTTTCTCTCTTTTCTTCTTTTCTCTCTTTTTCTTTTCTTTCTTCTTCTTTTCTTTTCTCTTCTTCTCTTCTTCTCTCTTCTTCTCTTCTTAATTCCTCTCTTCTTCTCTCTTCTTTTTTCTCGTTTTCTTTTCTCTCTCTCTTCTCTTCTTCTTTCCTTTCTTCCTCTTCCTTTCTCTCAATCTCTCTTTCTCTTTTCTTATTCTTGAGCTCTTTAAGTCTTGCCCCAAATTCTAATTCTCTACGAAGAAACCCATGATCATTTAAATGCTCAAGAAATAATTTTCCAGTATCAATGCAATCCCTAATTAGTTCTAGGTTTCTTTTAATGCTTGAAGGCACAAACTTTCTTCTCATGCAAGCTTTTAAATCATGCCAATTATGTATGGAGGACTTTCTACCTTTCCTAACATGATATTGTCTTTCATCCCACCACTCACTTGCATGCTCTTCTAACTTAGAGAGATATATGCTAAGGANAATGACCCCTCAACATTATCTTTTTCCATGGCTCTTGCCCTAAAAGCCATATTTCTAGAGATTCCTACATTCCATTTCCTACTTACTTTGTCCCTAAGTCCATCACCTTCATATTAGGGTTCTCTCTGACAGATTTTGCCATCCTTTGACTCAACCACTTAGAAGTCATCAACTTCACATTACAAACTGTACTACAGCTATGATCATCAATAACTTTTCTTAGTTGCCATGACTTGGCAGCTGACCTATAGGCACAATAAGCATACCATTTGCATTTACCCTGGCTCCCCAAACATTTTACAGCAACCCTCTTTTTTGTCATTCTTCATGAATTTCAAATTTCTTCCATTACTCAGTGCATAAGTCCTAATGGCCTCTGTAAATTCCTTTTCTCAGTGAAATAGGTTCCCACTTCCCATTTATAATCCGTCAAACTTTTAGGCATGCTAAATGTGGGAAACAAAGTTCTCCGAATGGAATCATCATCGTCCTCATTGTCTGGACCACTATCCAACTCATCTGACACCCACTCAGTGTTAGACAAGCCACGAACATCATGCATGGAATCATTATCAGTTGTCCTTGATGACTCACCTATTGGACTGTCAGGTTGTTCTTCCCTCACATTTCGTTTCAAACTACTAATGTCACACTCAATGGTGACATCAACTAGACTTTCTTCACTCACAGACTCATCTACATCTTCATCCTCACCATGTTCACTCACAGACTCATCCTCACCATCATCTCCAACCTCTTCATGCTCATCATCATCCTCACCCTCATCATCACCCACATGATCATCCTCAATCTCATCCTCTTTTACATCTTGTAGCTCAAAATCATTTACATCATGTACCTCAACCTCC